CAGTGCACAATAACAGTGTTACCTACAGGGAATGCTATTAAGTCTTTTGTGTTTTTGCTACTGGTGGAAATTAACCTAGGTACAACTTATAGTTAGCATTTCATTTTCTTACAAGAGATTTGCATTGTAGAAAGATCTTTGGCTGTTGGGTGGAGAATGGAACTGAGGGGTTGAGAGTAGAACAGACTGGCAATGGGTAGTGGTGGCTGGATCAGAATGTGAACTGTGGCCGAAACCGGTTTGGCTCAGTGGATAGAGCATCAGCCTGCGGACTGAAAGGTCCCAGGTTCGATTCCAGTCAAGGGCATGTACCTTGGTTTCGGGCACATCCCCGGGGGGGGGGGGGGGTAATGCAGGAGGCAGCTGATTGATGATTCTCTCTCATCAATGTTTCTGACTCTCTATCCCTCTCTCTTCCTCTCTGTGAAAAATCAATAAAATATATTAAAAAAAGAAAAAGAAAAGAATGTGAGCTGTGACATAGGAGAAGTGGACCGATGGGGGGGGCTGGTCTACGGGCTACCTGACTAGGGGTCTGGGGGGTTGTGGTTCTGGTGGCAGAGGAGGCCCTGGGGCCAGAGCACACAGCCGCTGTGCTCGGGAGGCAGGCAGAGAGGCCTCTGCAGCGAGGCAGGGACACCGCCAGCCAGCTGGGAATGCCTCGGCCACCACCACTGCCGCTTGTCCCCCGCCCACAGGCAGAAGCTGCACGAAGCGGATCTGGAGCTGCAGCGGAAGCGCGAGTACATCGAGGAGCTGGAGCCGCCCGCCGACGGCAGCAGTGAGCCGCGCTCCGCAGCCGGGCGGGCGGGCGGGCGGGCGGGCGGGGGGAGACCTGGGCTTGGCGGGGATCTCAGGGGCCACTTTGTTCCCCCAGCAGGCCGGCGAATCGAGGAGCTTCAGGACAGCCTGCAGAAGAAGGAGGCGGACCTGCGGGCCATGGAGGAGCGGTACCGCCGCTATGTGGACAAGGCGCGCACGGTGAGGGTGCTGAGTGGTGTCCAGCCTGCTGCCTCCCACAGTCTGCACATCTCTGCCCCCACCCCCATGCCTGTCATACCCCATTGTGGCACAGACTTACACCACAGCCATGAGCTGTCACACTCAACACTCCAATGGGTCCAACAACCTGTGAAGCCAAGGTCACCTTGGCTGTATCTGTCCCAACCCCTAGGTCATACAGACTCTGGAACCAAAGCAGCGGCCACCAGGGGGCGTGCTTCCGGAACTCCATTCCTTGAGGACACAGCTCCGGGAGCGGGAAGTCCGAATCAGGCACCTGGAGGTGGGTGCCCTCATCCCTCGTCACTGCCCCCAGCATAGCCAGGCCCTTGACTGTTGCCTCCTTGGCAGATGGACTTTGAGAAGAATCGAAGTCAGCGGGAGCAGGAAGAGAAGTTGCTCATCAGCGCCTGGTATAACATGGTGAGTGCACCGCACCAGCGCTGGAGTGTCGGGGGCATCCCCTGGGCTCATCGAATGCCAACCACACCCCTCTCTCCAGGGCATGGCCTTACAGCAGCGAGCAGGGGAAGAGCGGGCACCTGCACATGCTCAGTCGTTCCTGGCACAGCAGCGGCTGGCTACCAATGCTCGCCGTGGACCCCTGGGCCGCCTAGCGTACTTGAACATGCGCCCCATTGACAAGCATTGATGAACCTCGGGATCCTGCCCACCTGCCCACCCGCCCAGCCAGTCAGGGCTTAATCCTAGATCCCCCAATTCCCCCAGGGCTCAGCATCATGCCTGGGTCAGCTGCTTGAGAGCCTTGAGGCCATGACCTGTGCCTTTTGTTCTCGTTGGTGAGACAAGAGTACAGGCCAGGGTGGGAGGCAGGTATGGGTGTGTTCTTTCTAGCAATGTGATTCTTACCCTTAATATTCTCCCTGAAATTAATGAGCTGCCAGGGTACAGAGAGTGATTTTATATTTGAGAAGAAAAATAATAAAGACTTTCAATCTGTCCCGGCTGGACTCTGGGCACTGAGGTGAGGGAGAGACTATGGGCCCAGGACTCAGAGCACTGCTTTTAAGAAAGGCCTGGCTGTGGTCTCACTAAAGTGTGAATGACTGACAGTACCCAGTGAGAGGTGAGAGTCATATTTGCGTTTGTGTAACTGTGCACGTGTGGTGGGTTTTAAAGAAGCTTCAGACAAAAATCCCTGCTTTATGAAGCCATTATTTCCAATGAAATAAAGAAAGCAGACAATAAAGGAAATAGATAAAAGCTTTTTAAAATATATAATTTATTAATGTTTTACAGAGAGGAAGGGAGAGGGATAGAGAGTTAAACACATCAATGAGAGAGAAACTTCCATCAGCTGCCTCCTGTACATCCCTACTGGGGATGTGCCTGCAACCAAGATATATGCCCCTGACCAGAATTGAGCTTGGGACCCTTCAGTCCACAGGCCGACACTCTATCCACTGAGCCAAACCGGTTTCAGCTAGATAAAGGTTTTATGTGAGAAGTGTGATAGAGAAAAATAAAGCAGACAGAAGTGATAAGGATACAGGAGGTAGATTGCCATTAAAAGTTTTTTTTATAAGTATTTATTTGAGCCCTAGCTGATTTGGCTCAGTGGATAGAGAGTCAGCCTGCAGATGGAAGGATCCAGGGTTCCATTCCAGTCTAGAGCACATACTTTGGTGGCAGGTTCCCTGGTCCTGGAAGGGATGCATGCAAGAGGCAACCAATCGATGTGTCTTTCACATCATTGCTTTCTCTATCTCTCCCTCTCCCTTTCAATGGAAAAATATCCGTGGGTAAGGATTAACAACAACAGCAGTAATAATAATTTTTTAAAAATATATATTTTATTGATTTTTTTACAGAGAGGAAGAGAGAGGGATAGAAAGTTAGAAACATCGATGAGAGAGAATCATCAATCAGCTGCCTCTTGCACACCCCTACTGGGGATGTGCCCGCAACCAAGGTACATGCCCTTGACCGGAATCGAACCTGGGACCTTTCAGTCCGCAGACCGATGCTCTATTCATTGAGCCAAATCGGCTTCAGCAATAATAAATTATTTGAGGCAAATTGACAGTACGATGGGAAGCAAGATCTCAAATGCTCCAGGAAGTGGGGATTTTTAAAAAATATACTTCTTTTTAAAAAAATATCGTTTATTAATTTTTTTACAGAGAGGAAGAGAGAGGGATAGAGAGCTAGAAACATCAATGAGAGAGAATCATCAATCAGCTGCCTCTTGCACACCCCCTACTGGGGATGTGCCCGAAACCAAGGTACATGCCCTCAACCGGAATCGAACCCCGGGACCCTTTAGTCCGCAGGCCAATGCTCTATCCACTGAGCCAAACAAGCCAGGGCAAAAAAATATACTTCTTTTATTGATTTCAGAGAGGAAGGGAGAGGGAGAGATAGATAGGGAACATCAATGATGAGAGAGAACCATTGATTGGCTGCCTCCTGCACGCCCCCTTCTGGGGATCAAGCCTGCAACTCGGGCGTGTGCCCTTGGCCGGAATCCAACCCGGGACCCTTCAGTCCACAGGCTGATGCTCTATCCACCGAGCCAAACCGACTAGGGCAGGAAGTGGGGATTTTTAATTAAAGGCCAGCAAAAGAAGTCTGGCCAAAGAATTGATATAGTGTAAGCAGAAACCTGAAGGAGAGTAAAGAAGGGGCCATGTATTATAGGTCTCTGGGGAAGAGCAATCGAGCCAGAGCAAACACCATGTCCGAGGCCCTGAGATGAGGCCGTGCTGGATGGGATAGAGGGAGAGTGTGGAGTGAGTGAGGGAAGGGAGGAGACCAGGGCAGGGAGATTGTTCAGGGCCTGGTGAGCTGTGGAGAAGACTAGCTTTTATCCTAAGTGTGGTGGGAGTCGTGGAAGCGTGCTGTCTAATTTGGGCGTCCCTACGCTCCCCGGAGCTGCTGTAGGAGGAACTGACTGGGGAGGGTTAAGGCCAGAGCTGGGAGGCGAGGGCAGAGGTCGCTAGTCCAGCCGGGTGGGTGCATACCAGGGGTGGGGGCCCAGAGGAAGGAGAAATGGCTGGACTCTGGATACAGTTTGAAGACCAAGCCGATGAGATTTGCTGCTGGGCTAGTGTGGAGGAGGGTAAGAGAAAAGAGTTGAAGATGACTTCCGGTTCCAGCCTCATCGTCTGGAACAGGGGTCTTCAAACTACGGCCCGCGGGCCACATGCGGCCTGCAGAGGAGTCTGATCCAGCCCGCCAGGTTTTTTGGGCAGTGAGCGCAGCCGAGGTGTTACAGTAGGAATTAGTAGTTCATATAGTCCGGCCCTCCAGCTCTCTGAGGGACCGTGATCTGGCCCCACTTTAAAAAGTTTGAGGACCCCTGGGAAGGACAGAGCCAACGGAGAGAGGCTGGGAGCCAAAGGGGCGCTGGCTCTGGGACATGTTATGTCCTATTGTGTCCAAGATGCCCGAGAGACCCCTGACCTACGTGGAGACATTGAGCAGACAGTTGGACCTATGGGTCTGGACCAGTGGTCGGCAAACCGCAGCTCGAGAGCCACATGCGGCTCTTTGGCCCCTTGAGTGTGGCTCTTCCACAAAATACCACAGCCTGGGCGATTCTATTTTGAAGAAATGGCGTTAGAAGAAGTTTAAGTTTAAAAAATTTGGCTCTCCAAAGAAATTGCAATTGTTGTACTGTTGCTATTTGGCTCTGTTGACTAATGAGTTTGCTGACCCCTGGTCTGTGTGGACATTTAAATACAGAGGTCATCAGCACATGATTGAATTAAGACCAGGAGCACTAAAAGGGTCTCTGAGAATTTAGGGACGTGGCATAGAAAGGTTGCTTGTAGAGTCATAAGTCAAGGCTGGCAGTGGGAAGCTGTGGCCCTGGGACTGTGGCCGGTACTCAAATGGGTGAGTAAAGTCCTGTGCTCTGGTGGGGCCATTTCAGAGAGCAGACTTTGGAAAGATGTGGGCAGGGCATTTGAAATAACCTGGAAAATTGCTGAAAACAGACTTAGCATAACGCGTGGCAGGAGAAGACTAATACATTTGAGTAGAAACCACTGACATTTTATTGAGCACCTATTATGTACAAAGGCTTTAAGGCTGTTCTTTCATTCCCATCCTCGCCACTCAAAGAGGGAGGCACTCATATCTCCATTTTGTGGAAACAACACACAGAAAGAACCTTTCCAGGCAGTTGCGGGCGAGGGCACCGGCAGAAAGAATGAGCTGCTCTAAGCTGGAAAAATGCCTTTCCCCTTAGCCCAGGGCCTGCCCACAGGAGACACAGGCCAGACGAGAAGGCAGGCGCACAGGTAGCGGGAGCGGGTCTAAAGCCGGCAGATGACATTCTCGAGGGGCTTATGCAGACCCAGATGTCTGCATGGGTGCCCTGTGGGTCTTGCTTCCTGGTTCTTGGGGATCTGGGGCCCAAGGGTCTCAAGCGTCTCAAGCCAGATTCTCCTCTTCCTCGCCAATGGGGCTGGGCAGCCAGGGCGGAGCCGGCCCTCGGGGTGCGGTCATGGGCACTGCGGTGAAGGGCTCAGCGTCCGGCCCCGGGGCTGGCGGCTCCGGCCCGGCGTGGGGCTCGGGCTCCGGCTCTCGAAGCCCGGAGTCCAACAGCAGGTCCCCACAGTCACACTCCGGGGCTACGCCGTCGAGGGCGCTGGTGCCCGCGCAGCTGGCGGCTGTGGACGCCTCGGACACGCAGCTGTTCTTGCGGCGCATCAAGGACAGGCGCCGGCCCAGCAGGCTTCCCGCAGCCGTGCCCGGACCCACCGGCAGGAGGCGCTGCAAGAAGTCGCCATGCGCCTCGCCCAGCGGCACGTCCGCGCCGTCGGGCCGCTCAAACTGCATGTCCTCCTTGGCCAGCCTGTGGGACGGAGAGAGGGTCAGCACTGCTGCCTCGCCCCTCTCCGTGGTTGACAGAGGTGGGACCGAGGCCCACTGCCTTTCCTGGCTCCACTCACCCACATGACTCACTTGTCCCAAGAGATCGTGGCTGCTCACCCAAGTGCCAGGCCTTTTCCCCTGGCTCTGGCTCTGCTTCAGATTTAGGCCTCCAAGTGTGGCATCATACTGCTTCTGACCACCCACCCAATCCTCACACCTCTTAGCCCTTAGCTCTGACTTCAATTTAGTGGCCTGATCCCAGACCTCCCAATCACTATCCTCGTAGACTTTATTATTATTTTTTTTTTAAAGAAGCAATGGTTTATTTCTATCTCACTTTATATGTGTCTAGAAATTTGTGTGTGTGTGTTTTTAAGTATATTTTTATTTCAGAGAGGAAGAGAGAGGTAGAAACATCAGTGATGAGGGAATCATTGATGGGCTATCTCCTGCACACTGGACAGAGCCTGAAACCGGGTAATGTGCCCTTGGCCAGAATCGAACCTGGGACCCTTTGGTCCGCAGGCCGACACTCTATCTACTGAGCCAAACCAGCTAGGGCTATCCTCTTAGACTTTAGCTCTTAGCCCCAAATTTCCAGTTTAGCCATCCCACAGATCCCTGCCCCCTTCAATTAGTCCCCACAGTGCCCTAAGCCTAGCGTCCAGCAGGCCCCGCCCACCCCGCTGGCTCACGTGATGTCGAAGGTGGAGCCCTGGAAGGAGGGCTGCAGCCTCAGGAAGGCGGTGGCTGCGGTGTAGGGGGCCCGGGCCTCCGCTGCGTCCCAGTACAAGTCCCTCTCCAGCATGGCCAGGTCATCGTACATCTCGTCCACGGCCAGCATGGACACCTGCAGCCGGGGACACCGCGCTGGGTGGGGGAGCAGAGCACGGGCGCCCCCCGAGGCCTGGGCCCGCAGGAGTGTGATGCCAAGGAGAGAAGGATGGGTCAGAGGTGAGGCCTGGGCAAGCCGTGGCAGGGTGGACTGAGGCCAGGGCCACTTTGGGAGCCTGGGCATGGGCTCAAGGGAGTCTCACCTGGAAGTTGCGGTCGATCAGGAAATTGGTCTCAAAATCGTCGTCGTCCTCTCCAAAGGGGTTGATGAGCTGCTCTGCTACCTTAGCGGGGAGCAGGGAGGTAAGCAGAGACCTGAGAAGCCCTGCCCACCCCGCTCCCGGCGCCCAGGCTCAGGGCCCGGCCACCTTGAGCCAGCCGGCGTAGAAGAAGAACTGCAGCAGAGTGAAGACCGGCACGAACAGGTCAAGGTTGTGGTCTTTGTAGCCCTGCGCGGGGTCTAGGAACTGGCGACCGATGACGCAGGCCAGGAAGTAACTGTACACAGCGATGGTCACCACCTGGGGGCAGGCAGGGGCCAGGTCAGGGCTCCCCTGGCCTCGGGTTCTCGGAGATCAGGAGTCACCGGGATGGGGCCCTAGCTGGCCCTCCATCTCCCCTTGAGACCAGGTATCTGACGGAGGATCTACGCGGAGGCGCTGCGGGGTTACCTGGGTGTAGACCAGGGGTATGCTGATCCAGTCGTAGTGAAAGAGCATCGCACACTTGCCCCGAAACACGGTCAGCTCCTGGGGGCAGATGCAAGTTACGGGAGGCCTGATGCATGAGCTCACGCGTGGGGATGAGGTGTGGGTCCTTGGGATGGAGGTGAGTGGTCACTGTGTGCTTCTGGGAGCGCCAGGGAGAGTATTTGGTGGTGAGTATACCCCTGGGGTGCCACCCCCCTCCCCGTGAGATAGCTGTGCACCTGGGGGCTGCTAGGTCAGGGTGTTTGGAGTCAGCCCCGTGGGGAGGCGAGTACCACTCCGGGACGGGGTACCACTTCTCTGGCCTTTTGTATGAATGACCAGCCGGCCAGCCCACCTCCAGCAGCAGTTTGAGGGCGCCGTTGTCGCGGATGCGGCCCTCCCGCCGGGCCTGGGCCGCCAGGTTGGAGAACCAGACGCAGGGCACCCAGTACTTGTTGTAGGATGAGTTCAAGTTCTCAAACTTCTTGCGCTCCTCGCGGGTCATAAACCCTGGAGGGGAGAGACGGAGGAGGGGGTGGGGCGGGTCACTCATCCTTACCGGGTCACTGGCCCCGCCCTCCCTGGCCCCGCCCCGCCCCGCCCCGCCCCGCCTCACCCGCCTCCACCACGTGGTCCATGGTGGGGAAGCGCTTGAAGACGGCGGTGCTGACGGAGCGCAGGATGAGCACGGCCGAGAGCCCCGCGTAGCGCATGAGCGTGCGCCGGTAGAGGCGGCCGCGCTCGTCGCGCCCGTGCACCGTGCCGGACACGATGCACATGAGCGCGTCGGGCAGCGGCATGCACAGGTACTGGCTCCACCAGCGGTTCACCACCAGGTTCACGTAGAAGCCTGCGCAGAGCCGGGAGGGACGCTCGTGGGGACGCGGGCCAGGGGGGTGCGGGCCCAGGGTGTGGGGGGAGGAGGGACATGGAACCTGCATCGGCAACACCCCCGGCAGGCGGTCACCCTGGCCCCGCGGGGCCTCCTGGGTTCGGGGTCCAGCTCTGGGGTCACTCTGGCTACTCACTGGGAGTCCCCTGGATGGGGCCTGGGGTCTTAGTGTGCAGGCAGAGGCAAAGGGCCCACGGGCAGCCTGCACCGAGGTCACAGGTCGCCCCTGAGCCAGACCTATGAAGGGGGTGGGCACAGGGTCTATGTCCTGGCATAGGCTGGTAACCCCACCGTGTGGGCAGAGAACACGGAGAGGAGGCTGGGAGCCAGGCTTGCCAGAGAAATACCGCCGAGGCTGGACTGGAGAGGACAGATTGCTGCGATGTCCCTGGAGGAGGTTCCTGGGGCTGGACACGGGGAGGGAGGGGCACAGGTGTCTTATGCAGACACAGGCCAAGGCCCCGGGTGACCAGGGCTGAGCATGTGGGTGACATGAAATTTTCAAGGGGCACTGTGGCCAGGAGATACCCAAAGACGTAGATATCTAAAGGATGGGGAGGCGGGGCTGTGGGGCTGGATTGGAGGGGGGTCTCAGAGAGGCAGGAATGGGGGGGTCTGTGGGGCTGGGTTGGAGGGGGAGTCTCAGAGAGGCAGGAATGGTCTCTCGGGATGGGGGATCGGCACCGGGGACTCTGGAGCGCGGACGCACCGAGCACGAAGGAGACGGGGATGAGGCTGGCGTACTGGTCGCAGTAGATGACGAGCTTCTCGAAGTAGCGCTTGTGCCCCTCGGCCAGCACGAAGCTGCGGGCAGGGCACGGGGTCAGGGCGCGCTCCCTCCCCGGCGCACTCTCTCCCCGCTCCGGTCCCGCCCCGCCCCGCCTGCACCCCGGTCCCCGCACCCCGGCCCTTCCTCAGCCCAGCCGGCCCCTCACCGGTAGGCCGCGCTCAGCGCCATGTAGAGCCCCAGGAAGCAGAGCAGCTCCCGCCACAGCAGCTTGTAGATGCTGCCGCGCCACAGCAGCAGCAGCTGCGAGAAGCCGCCGAAGCGCGCGTTGGCCACGCGGGCCGTGTACGTGACGGTCATCGGGGCCGCCGGTCTGGCCGGAGGAGGTGGGACCGGACCGAACGCCCACCTGTGGCGGAGGAACCGGAGCGGGGGGTTGGGGGGACCGGAGGGAGGCTGGGGTCTACAGGGGGGGGAGAGGGGGAAAGTGTTCCTATGACTCAGTTCAACGTGTCCTCCCTGCCCAGCCACCTCCTGGTCCACCCTCCTCCTGGCCTTGCTCAGGCCCGTCGCTCGCTGCCCGTCCTCCCCAAGCTTCTCCGGCTGCCCACCCCCTTCTGGACTCCTGTTCCCCATCTTGTGCCCACCCCCTGAGGCTGTCTCCCCAGCCTCCAGTCTCAAACTTGAGTTAAGCGAGGTGCCTTCTATCCCATCTCATCCCATCCTCTTACCTGGGCTCCACCTACGGCTTCCCCTTCTCCCCGAGTCCCCAGTGCCTCCGTTTCTGGGTTCTCAGACTGCCCCACCCCATTTCTCTTTCTCAGATCCCACCTGGCCCACCCCCTCCCCCAGCTCCCAGTCTCTGCCCTTCCCCTGCACTGCACTCCCTTTCGGAGCCCTAGGAAGCCATCCAAGTTCCCTCCTGCTGCAGCCCCAACCCCCCCTCAAGCTGGCCTCTTCTCCCCACAGCTGCCCCAACTCTCACCCTACCCCCTTAATGATCTTTCCCCTCTTCTGGGTCTCCTTGATCTTCCCTCCCTTCATTCTCCAGCCTTCCAAGCTCTCCACTCCACACTTGGAGGATTCTGATGGGTTGCTGCCTGATTCCTGCCCACAAGCCCACCTGTCCTCGGGTCCCCTGTTCCCCTGGGCCCTTCTCACCTGGCGGCAGCGCAGGACTCACAGACGGGCAGGTGGCTTCAACGTTGGGTGTAGCTTAAGCCAGACCCTGGAGTGGGAAGGGGCTGAGCAATGGGCGTGGACAGTCCCTCCCTGGCCCACACCCCTGGGCTGCAGCCTCAGAAATTTGTAGAAGTCTGGCCAGTTTGTTACCTGGAGCAAGGGGAGAACAACCAGGCCTCCCGGCTCCTCCCTGGCTCTCTCCCTGGCAGTCACTGGCAGGTCCAAGGGATCTTGGACCCAGAGCTGGAGGAGGGGGCGGGGACTGTGTCCTTCCCCGTCTCTCTCTCTCTCTCTCTCTCTCTCTCTCTCTCTCTCTCTCTCTCTCTCACACACACACACACACACACAAACACACACTGCTCAGTGGTGTCGGTTCACTCCATAGTCACAACGATGTACCGTACTTAGAAACATACATCATAGACCCAGGCACAAATCAGCTTCCCTCAACACAGACACACCAGCTGAGTGCAGACCCCACACAGCCGCACACCAGCCCACAGAGGGTGGTAGCACACGCTTATTCCTGATTTTCCCTGCACCAAGATACACTTGTGGTCACACACGGATGTGGGAATGCCTGCCCTCTGCGCAGGTACACATTCTCCTGGGGCCTTAGATCCATCAGTGTTGCAAGGACACACTCACACAAGTCACCCCTCCTCAACAGTCCCAGACCCTCCACAGTCCCACCCAGACAGTCGTACCCATAACCCATGAAACACGCCTGCATTTGCACATGGATGGGACGCCCTCTCTGATGCCCCCTCAGTGTGGTGTGCACACACCCCTGTCCCCGCCACACGCACCTCAGATCTCAGACCCACTCAGCACTGTCGTGAACACACGAGCTTCGGGACAAGGATTTGTCCCCACATCTGGCGTGGGTGCAGGAGAGATGTTCCCCCTTCACAGACACACCTGCAAAGTGGACACTCCCAGCCTGGCGCAGCCGGCCTCCCATCCCTCTCCGCAAACACGCAGCCTGGCATGGGAGGGGCAAGAGCTCAGGTCCAGACCCCGGGCCCCTCCAGTCTACCTTGTGCGCTAGGAATGTGGACAGCTTTACGCGGCTCCACCCGGAAGCCCTGCCAGCCAGGACACCTTGTTCCAAGCCTGGCATATGCCTGCCCCGCCTGGGGTAATTAGGAACTGGCCCAGGCTGGCTACCCTCAAACCAGCTTCTCGCTGTCCAGCTGCCGGACAGCCCATAAAAGTGGATGCAGGTTGGCACTGCTAGCTGTTGGCTCCGGGTGGGTGGGGTGGGGGGCGGGGGACAGGCTCCAGGTTGGTGCAGCTCCATTCCTGACCAGAGGATGTATATTTATACAAACTGCAGCCAGCTTCTCCCCTCCCCGTGCACATCTCCCTCCTCCGGTTCACAGGGTCCCCACACACTTCTGACTGCTGGACACCCGCTGGGCTAGGGGCAGGTTGCCCAAGCTAGTTCACAGGCAATGTTGTAACAACGAATAGTAACATTTGTAAAGAGCTACTTATTTCACCTGAGTCCTTACAAGCAGGCTTATGAAGTCGGTCTTCGTCATTCCCACTATCTGGTAGGGAAACTGAGGCTCAAATGACGCCGCCCTTTGACGGCACAGCTGGGATTTGAACTCAGGTGGTTCAGCTGGGAGCCAGGGGTCTCTGCCACAGGCTGCAATACTGTTTGTTTACAAATGCCACCCCATCATGCCCACACCCGCTTGCGCACACCCAGTACAATGGAGCCCAGGTCACGTTTGGGCTTGTGGCTGGGCTCCCCTTACGTGCAAGCACACCCTCACACACCCAGACCCTGGGTGTGCACAATTTGAACACTTCCTGACTCATGCGTGGCCTCAGGTACCTCTTGTCCATCTCCTCCACCCCCACCCAGCGCTGGCTTGGAACCTGCAAACACGAGGTCATGCCAGCGCTGGGCCCCCAGGTGGGGATGAACGTGGCTGTCCAGGCAGCGGCAGAGTGAAGGGGTAAGGGGCCCACTGGATGCCTTCCAGGGAGCTGCGCCAGCTAACTCTTCAGGGGAACTTGTCCCGTGGCTCGGTGCCTGGCCACACTTGCCTCCGTTTTAGAGATGAAGCTCAAACTATAGGAAAACGTGAGGCCACCCAGTGAGATGGCTCCAAGTTAGGATAGGACTTTAGGGATGCCTTCGGCTCGAGTCCTCTACCATCATGTCACGTAACCTGTTCCTGGTTGTAGCTGTGCTGGGTGGAGCGGATTCCATCCCATGGGCGGGCGGGAAGGGGGTGGGGGGACATGCCAGGAATTGGGGGGTGGAGACTGTTAATCCCTAGTCTGGCCAGCCCAGCCTCTGCCCAGGGTGCCCACTAATTTCCAAACCAAACAGCAGGCAGTACTGGGCTGCTGCCTGCCTAATCCGCTCCCCCCACCCAAGGTTCTCCAATGGGCCTCCTGGTTCTCACACGTTGAGCCTCAAAGGAAGGGGGTATATGCCAATTCAGGCATTATGGCAGGGACACCCCTCCCCGTACAGGGCTTGAAAAAGCATCTCCTTATTGAAGACACCCACCTCCCAAAATTGCCATAATAAACATAATTTGTTAGTCTGTCGTGACTGCATCCCTCTAGCTGTGACGTGTCTGTGCAGTGTATACAACTGTTCATGGTGGCGCTGACTCTGAAATCCTTGTATCAATAACCACAGTAGTTTAAGATCATTTTATTGAGAAGTGAGAGGCGGGGAGAGGTGAGGGGTAGCTACAGCCACCCCAGCCCCACCAGGGGGAACAGACCCCCTCCCCGCCTCCCACCTCAAGTGGCTCCCCCTGGACCATGGGGGAGGGGGGCGGGGACTTTGTGCAAACTCTACCCCGGAGGGGTGGAGAGTGGGTGGAAATGGTAGCAGCTGGGGCTGGCAGCAGTGCTACTGGGTGCTGGGTGGCTTGTAGGGCTCCAGGAGGAGGGCAGAGAAGGTGTTGACCTTGTCTGCCCCCCGCACTTCATGAGGAAGCAGAGGCAGCTTCACAATGTGGAAGTCTTCATACAGGTCCTCCATCTGTGGCCGGGGCAGGGAGCAGAGGACATTGGTCAGGGGCTGGCTGCAGGCAGGGACAGAATGTGGGCAGATCCAAGGGGTTGAGACGGGGGCCTCCCAGGGTCAGTCTTCATAAGGTCACCGGTGGGAGTGGTGCCAGTGAGGTCAGAGTTCCCAGGGTTGGACCTCTGGCTCCGCAGGGTCAGGGTATCCAGGCCAGGCCAGCCATATTCCTTCATGGCCAGAATTAGGGGAAAGGGACTGAAGGAGGGGGGAAGAGCAGGAGGCCCGGGCAGAGGTCAGAGGGAGGACGGAGCAAAGGTTCGGAGCGCAGAATAAATGACTGGGGGTGCCATGGTTAGGATGGGCCGGGTCCCCCCTGCCAAGACCAGAGGTTTGAGGGCTGGGTGGACGGCTGGGCATGCACACCTGGTCCAGGTACTTGGCCTGGATCTTGTGGCGGGCCTCACACATCTTGCAGGGCTTCTCAGGGTCGGGGAAGACGAGCTGGTTGACAATGATGTTGTGCGTGTCTATCTTGCATTTGGCCAGCTCTTGGATCAGCCGCTCTGTCTCGTACAGAGACAGGAACTCGGCGATGCACACACAGATGAAAGTCGTCTGTTCCTGCAGGATGCGAGAGGACAGTGAGGGCCAGGCGCTGGCCCCGGAGCCTCTCCCTGTCTACGTGCACCGTGACTCACAGGATCCTTGAACTGCTCGCTGACAGAGCGGATGACAGGCAGCGTCTCTTCCAGCTTGGAGGCCAGCTGGTCTGCGTTCATATCCCCTAGGCCCAGCATGTTGCACATCTGGGGGGAGGACATGGGAGGGCTTGAGGCTTACCTGGGGCCATTATACCTGCTAACCACCTCCCAGTGGTTAAAAGCCTGGGCCCTTGAACAGATCACAGGGGCAAATCCCAGCTCTGCCTCCTTTGGGGGACGATAGCCAGGCGGCTTAACTGGAATGCTTAGTTTCCCCTTGGAGACTTTACCTCCAAGGGCTGGCATGCTAGATGAACTGAAACATGTCATGCTCAGAACAGTGCCTGGCACAAAGCGAGCGCTCTGCAAATGTGACTAATCTGGGACACAGGTACCCAAAGGGGGATCACACACACCACCGTGGAGGTGGGATGTGTGTAGAAGTGGGGCTGTCATGTGATCATGCCAATAACAACAGGGACACGTGCATGCTCTCCATTTGACAGACAAGGAAGGTGAGGCCCAGAGAGATGAAGTGACCTGCCTTAGGTCACATTAGAGGGCAAAACAT